AAAAAAACAAGTAATAAAAAACAACAACTGATGTAGTACAGAAACTATGAGGTGCTCCTCTCAACATTTAATATGCTTTATCAAAACGGTACAATTTTCAGCAGCATCAGTTTCCTTCAACGTGTCTGGCACTTTTTTTTTTTACATAAGAAAAGTAAATGACCTTTTAATACAATATGATAAATTCAGAAAGTGTGTCATTTTTCTACTGTCTTATGTTCTGACACATTTTTCTATTTTTGTCATGTTGTAAATATTGGGTTGATGAGCCATTCTGTAATGAGTCTGTAGACATGCAGTGTTCATGCAGTCCAATGAATAGTTCATGCCATCTCTGATTTTGATAATTTCAGGAGTTTGATTATTAATCTACCATATTCTATTTGATTTTTAAAAAAATGTTACAGTACATTTGAAAAAGAACAATGCATGCAATGATATGTAAAGTACGGTGGCCTATATGAAATAATTTCTTTCAAATAAACCAAACTAATAGAACACGTATAAAAATGATCTAAATTTGCATTGCCCTCATAAAAATACAAATCAATCCAAAATAAAATAAGCTCTCATATCAAAGTTTCATTCCATCAGAGGTGGTTTCTAAGAGTTTGTAACATATTAGAGATTGCGTTATTTGAGTCGAACATGTGGCATGTTCATAGTCTCATTGCTGCCTGTATTGGGCGTATTTCCACTTGCTAGGTTGTGACTAGCACCAGCCGTATTACTTGTCCTAAGCAGCTCGGAGGAGAAGGATGCATCAATGGGGGGCTGGGAGAGAAAGCTGAACCCTTGAGTATGTATCTTATTTGAGGTCTCAAGGTCTCTATCGCTGATGAAGAGATCAGCTTCTCCCCAGCCCCCTACTCCTATCTCAATGCCCCCAGCTGAAGAGTCCTGGCTGCTGCTAACGCTGGTGGAGAAACTAGCCTGACTAGAATGCGTGTCCACACAGAGACCTTCCAGAACAGGCTGCATGAGGTCCTGTACAGAGAGGGACTTCCCTAGTCCTCTGTCCCCACTGCATTGGCCTTGAATCGGGGCAAGAGGAGAGACTGGAGCAAGAGGGCGAGGGAAAACTAGGTCATGGGGAGAAAAACACAACATAGACAGTCCATATTTCTGACCTATCACCCCCCTCCCGGAAGGTGCGTCCTCGCGCCGAAGAAACAACAGAAGGAGGAACGGTTGGGAACTTGGGATGAGGCTCAGGAAGTGGGTGGACAGACAGAGTCCAGGGAGGTGACGACGGAGGGAGGAGCCATGGAGGAAACCGGAGGAGTCAGGGTGGATCAGACGGACGGAGGAGCCAGGGAGACGACAGGAGGGACTTGTAGCATGCGGCGCCAGGTGGGACCCAGGCCACAGCCATAATGGCGACCCACGGTGGAGCCGACGGCGGGAGGAGCCATGGAGGAGGAAGGGGTGACGACTCCAGGAGGCCAACCGACTGCGGCAGAGCAGGTGGAGGAGGAGCCCGAGACGGAGAGCCGATGAGCCAGGGCAACGGGGAGGATCCGGAGGGCCAAGGTGGAGCAGATGGCACCGGCGACCCGTGCTCTCTGGACTTAACTTGGGAACAGGAGCCCTCTCTGGGCTGGACGTGGAAACAGGAACGGGAGGGACAGAGGTCACCGACGGAGAAGGGAGGAAAGGGGGCAGGTCGGTATACAAATCAATTAAGATTCTTTCCACTTTTCCTTTACCCAGATCCTTAGACAGCTCACCCTCAGCCACGGTGCAGGAGGCAGAGCTCCTCTCCGCGCTCTCACTGTCCATGACGCTCTCCCCCGTGGTGAGCTCTGTAGCCGGCTCTCGCACCTGGTCTGACGTCACAGGCTCGGGCTCCGGGGCGATCCTCAGCACTGTAGCTCTCTCTGGCGATGGCTCGTCAGTTGCAGTGGGCTTGGGCTTAAGCTCCGCGCAGTGGGGTGATGGTGGGCTGGGATTTGGGTCTGGCTGTGTTCTGGATCTGGGGTAGACGCTCTCCAGACACCGGATGATAACCTCCCTCCAGCACAGTCCGGTGGTGTCTGGGAGGTCGACGGGGCGGTAGTAGTTGGCCCCGATCCAGAACTAGTGATGGGCGCATTCGAAACACTGCTTCATGAAGCTTTGAAACATTTGTGAATCTTTTGTTTCGAATCAGTGTTTCGGAGTGCGTATCAAACCGGCCAGGTCACGTGATTGTAGCAAACGAAGCTTTGTTTTGTCACACTGTTTCGAAACGTTTCGAACCTTCGATGGTTCACCACTAGGGGTTGTTGATCTCAAAGTGAACCCATGAACCACTTCTGGTTGCCCAGTTAATCATATGACATGAAATCCCACGAAATTTAGGTATAAAAAACAAAGAATTCAGGGCCAGATGTTGTGGGTTAAACAAAAGATAACTTCCCTTTAACACAGATGGCTATATAGTTTAAAAAAAATGTGTAAAAACATGCAGTACTTTCAATCTACAAATCACATTATGCCTTAAAAATTACAAAATGAACTTACGATAAAATTAAAACCACCTCCTTCTCCTGACTGATAACACTACTCTTGCCTGCTGGTTTTTATTGACAGCTCTAATGAAAACACTTAATTAAATTATTACATAAATCAATTAATTAATTAAATAATTAATTATATAGTTCATTGTGTGTTAAGGGTTTGATTATACTTAAAACACGTAACACAAGCGCTAATATTTAAGTGTTTATTATTTATTTAAAAAAATGGTATTTCTAAAAAAAACATTTCCATTTGTTTCATAAGTTTGGTTTGAGTTCTTGATGCTTTTACAACGGTTTCACCCGCAGGTGTCACCAGCATGTGCTGTTTCAAGTGTTTCCAAACATGGAATAATTTTTCGAAGCAATTGGTTCAATTGATTCAATACTTCGAAAAGCTTCGCTTCTCCCATCACTACTCCAAACGCCTTAAAACAGCGAGCTGGCTGAACTCCACAGCATACTCCAAGAGGGAAAGGTCCTTGCGGATGAGGGAGGTAAACTTGACAGTGAGGGAATCCATGGGGAAGGAAACACTAAAGAAACAAAAAACACTGAATGGAAAACGGAAAACAAATGGAGGGGAGACACATAGTTAAACAGTTTGTAGGTCAGTTCTTCTGTCACGATATGCTGCCGGAAGGAACGAAAGAGCCATGGATAAACGAAACCGTCATTTATTAAATCCAACACACAGGGTAAATCCACACTTGGAAGGGAAGGAAGACACATGTACACAACTGGTAGACCCGACAAACACAGACTGAACAGACTGGAGCTTAAATACACAGGATAACGAAGGAATTGGGAGGAACACAGGTGAACAGAATGACTAATTAAGAGACAATGAGGACAGGAACAGGAACGACCAAATAAGGGCACATGAGGGAGAAACTGGGTCACGGGGAGCACATGGGCAGCAAAACAAAACAAAGACAGTCCAATCCTGACAGATACAAGCTATGAAAATAGCCTTATCGTTGGCCATTTTTATTTAAATAATGTTAAACAAATCCATCACCATCAATTTCACCCCATAATATTATTAAACACAATTCATCTTTAGAAACAGAAATGACACTCTGGTGGCAATTTACATAACTTAAAAAAAAAAAAAAAGTCATGTCCATAGATGGTCCATAAACTAGTGGGAGTAAGAAAAGTGTGTTTTAACTGACTTTATTTTCTAAAAGTCCACAGCGCTAAAACTGCCCATAGTTGAAGAAACAAACACCTAAAAACCTGTGCAGTATTCAAAGATTCAATGAAATATGAGATGAATTGATTCAGTGTGACATGTGGGACATGTGAGTACGTAAAACCCTGTTTAACCGAGTGTCTCTAAACTCACCTGTCTTTCTACCTTACACACCCTTCCAAGCATGCTCACGTCTTCCAGAATGTCTCCGTCAGATAACAGCTTTTCTCTGACCTTCTTATCCATAGGCATCTGGCCCCTACCAAGAATCTGATCCACCCTAAAAGTGAGAGACAGATGTTATCAAAAAGACAGGAATTAAAAGTGTGAAAAGAAATAAAGATTCACATCCCAAATGAGCAGACAGAGAATTGAGAGAAACTATAATGACACTTTAGAAATCGCTACTATTAGCAAACCAGGTTCAAGTTTTAAATTTTTCTTGTACATTAAAATGTGATGAATTCAAAATTATATAGACGTTCTGTTCATTTAGACTATGAAGAAAGCCAGGAACTGTGATGTTCTGTTTTGGTCACATGGAGGCACTGGTCTCACTTATTTTATAAACCTTGATCATTTGACTCCATAGGCTTCAGTGATAAAATAAAATACTTTTTTTTTTTTTTTTAAGTGACAAGAAGACCTGCCATGGTTATAAAGAGAAAGATGGCTTGAAAAGAGATACTTGGCATACAATGGTTTACTTATTTTTTTACTTTTCAGAATCAGAATCAGAAAGAGCTTTATTGCCAAGTATGTTTGCACATACAAGGAATTTGTTATAGTGTCACAAGCTTCCAGTACACGGAGACAACAACAACACACAGATAATAAAAATTAGATGTGAATAAAATACACATGCATAAATATAAACCACAAAAAAAAAAGAAAAAAAAAAAAAAGAATAAATTGTATGTACAGGTGTGCTATAGATGGAATAGGAATAGAATAAAATAAAATAAGTTGTAGGGATGTACTAGGGTTTAGGGTGATAAATAGGTATAAGGTTATTGCACATACTTTAATTGCACAATGGGAGAACATTAACTGTTCATGAGGCAGATTGCCTGGGGAAAGAAACTGTTCTTGTGCCTGGCTGTCCTGGTATTCGGTGCTCTGTAACGCCGACCAGATGGCAAAAGTTCAAAAAGGAGATGGCTTGGATGTGATGGATCCAGAGTGATTTTTATATTAGACTACATATCAATTCCCAAGGTTTTTTGAGATAGCAAAATGTCCACTTATTACATACTTCAGAATCTCAGCATATGTGTCAATATGTCTTCCGAATATTCTAACTGATCATGAATACTGAGTAACTAGACATTCTACACATTTGACATGTTCCCCATATGTAGCAAGGCAGTACACATATTCAAAGAGTTTTTTGAGTCAAAAATGTACTGTATGTACATTTAATGATATATTGCAATAATGATATATAGCTTCTCAAATACGCCACATCACATTGTTTGGCAGAACCCCAGGGCTTGGCCACCACCCAGTGACCCATATATGACCAAGGAGAAGCACTGCCTCAGGGGCATCAGAACAGCTGTGACATGATGACATTAATGTGAAGTCAACATACCAGTGCGGATATGATATAGAGGTCATGAATGCGGCTGCTAATTATCTTTAAATGTCATTGTTGAGTAAATGTTTTAATTCACATATTATGCAACACAGACTGATGTTCAAACTGATGTTACACAAGATGAATGTGCTTGATGAATCAAATTCTTGATTGCCTGCGCCATTATTAACCTCTGTTGATTGGGATGCATGTTTAGAAATGCTTGTTGCTGCTCTTTTTAAATATATGAGCAGTGAATGTTATGTGTTACAGGTGAAAGTGTTGATTTATAATGAGTATGCTGCAATGTGTTTTGATTGGCTGTGTATCAGGTATGACCTCTGTTCCTAATGTGCTATTAGCTGTCATTTATATGTAACGAGAGAATGCCTAGTGATTAGTACATAAACATGCTTCATTTTGCGCTCGTGGGTGGTGCAATGCAAGTTCAAACCCTTCCTTTTCCTATCATTTCAAGTGGCAAAAAGTACCTGCTGTACTTGTGGACCTGCTGTAAAGCAGCTGTAAAAAACAATTTATGTCATTATTTAGCTCAAGAATGTTAATTGATCAACTATAGGCAGCTCGACAATAGGCACCAATGTTGTTATTCAGCTTGAGTCAGTTCAGAGTTGATATTGCAAGATGCGATTCAGCTGTAAAGTAGCTCTACAGAAAACAATAGTGTCAAATCTTGCTCTCATCTGATGGTGTCAGTCAGTGTGGTTGTATTGATACATTTCTGAAAGCTAAGTGTCTTTCAGACCCCAACTAAGCAAACAAGAAGGTGACAGTGACGAGGAACCCAAACTTCATCAGGTGTCACAAATGAAGACAAAAACTTCGGGAGAAACCAGGCTCAGTCTGTGGACCAGTTCTCCTCTGGCTTATATTGCATATATATTTACACATACAGTATTTACAGATTAAGCTTATAAACAAATGAGGATTTACAAAAACTCAGCCACTCGCCATTCGCTATAGTAGTGGACATTTGTTCTTTGTGGTCATTAACAGCAAAGTGCTTTCTTACAGTCGTCCACTTGTTTCAGTTCATGAGAAGTTTCATGTACTGAAGTCTACATGTGTGTATTCTGTAAATCAAAATTTTGGGGTTGGTAAGATTTCTCTGGGGTTGGTTAAGAAGTCTCTTCTGCTCACCACCAAGGCTGCATTTATTTGCTCAAAACTACAGAATAAAGAGTGATATTGTAAAATCCTGCTACAACAGTCTTTTTTTCTCTATTTTAATATATTTTAAAATGTAGGCTAATCTATTCCTCTTATGGCAAAGCTGAATTTTCAGAAGACATTTTGTGTAAACCATCACACTTTTTTTTTCAGGATTCTTTGATGAATAGAAATGGAAATCTTTCCACCATTATAAATGTATTTACGGTCACTTTTGACAATTTAATGCATTTTGAGGGAACAAAGTACATATTTTTCAAAAAAATAAAAAAAGAAACACTTATGGTGGCATATGGCATATGGTGGAAAAACATGTTTGGACAGTAGTTGGGTTGTCCTACCTGGTTTGCAGACTTTTAATTCGGCAGAGCATGTCCAGATGACCGGCTGAATATTGCTCTATTACATCCTTTACATCATATGGGCGCAGAGTTTCCTTAAAATTCTTCTTCGCCACATGGAATTTCATGATCCTGCAAAACCATATGCTAATGTTATTCTTCCTTTGAAGTCTTATGAAGCCCAAAACAGATATGTGAGCGCTAATATTTAAAGTGTGAATGTGTCTTGTTCTTTTGAGCAAAATACAGTATGAATGATAATATAAAGGACACTGAACTAACTGACGCTTTTTCGACTATGTTAATGGAACAAAAAAACAAAACAAAAAAAAAACCTTGACCCAATATATTACAAATCAAATTATTTGCAGTTTACATTTGGGGTGACTCAGAATAACCACAGCAATGTTTCTGAAAGGTGATCAAATGACAGCATAGACAAATCCAACACCCTGAGAAAGTCTGAGCTTGGTGTCACACACATGACAGTCCAACCAGACCCCAGCTGAAAGCTACAGGGCTACCACAGCATTTCACCTACAGCCCGGAATATTCAGTGAAGCAGTTCATTTTTCATTCCTCATAATAAAAGCGAAAGTGAGAGGCTGGAAAAGATGAGCACATACTGTCAATCTAGCACTCAGCTTTCCACTGACCCATACATACTAGACGAAACAAAAAGAAAAGAGCATGGTTGATGTTTGTGAAGTGTGAACAGCATGACAGTATTCTTTTGTGATAGTGAAATTAGTGAAATGAGATAATGAGACACTGATTCATCTCATGCTCTCAGTGGCTGGGAGTATAATTAAATAATACTGACAAACAGACAGTGCCGTTTTCACTAAAAGGTGATGGGCATATTTTTGTGTATTTATGCTAGAGCTTAAGTAAACCTTTTGTAGTTTGATTTCTCAAAAAATTGTAAATACTGCGGCTCTGTTGTGCTGTCAAACATTGCACTCTTTGCTTGAGGCCTGTAACACAAAGTAGGTTTAAGCAGCGAGCGAGGCAATTTCGAGTTTAGTTTAGGCTAATAATGGATGTTATGTACCACACAGGTGAATAGGTAGTTAGGTAAATATTTACTTTGTTGCTTTAAAACATTGCATTTTTGCATTTCAGACTACAGTTGAGTATTTCGGTGTATTGAGCCTTATTGGTGAGGCAAGTCACTTATTTTGTCAGAATCAGTGTCAAAATCAGGCAGCATTTAAAGGAATAGTATACTCAAAAATGAAAACGTGTGCCCAAAATTTACTCAAGAGTAGATGAGTTTGTTTCTTCACAGGAACAGAATTGGAGAATTTTAGCATTACATCACTTGCTCACCAGTGGATCCTTCGCAGTGAATGGGTGCCGTCAGAATGAGAGTCCAAACATCTGATAAAAAAACATCAAAATAATCCACAAACAGTCCACATGACTCCAGTCCATCAATTAACGTCTTGTAAAGCAAAAAGCTGCATGTTTGTAAGAAACAAATCCATCATTACTACGTTTTAACTTGCTGTTAAAACCGGTGCCTCCATCCATTATCCATAACAACGCTTTCTGCAGAGAAATATGCACAGATCAAGCACCTTTTACAAGCCAAAAAAGTTATAAACAAATATTTGGGTGGATTTTGATGTTAGAGGACAACAGAGAATGGACTTTTTCACTAGAGGATGGGTTATTATGCATTATGGACTATGGAAGCAACATTTTAAAGTTGAACACATCTTCATGAATTTGTTTCTTACAAGCATGCAGCTTTTCACTTTACTTAACTGATGGACTAAAGTTGTGTTAATGACTTCTGTATTACTGTGATTTTTTAATCAGCTGTTTGGGCTTTCATTCTGGCGGCACCCGTTTACTGCAGAGAATCCATTGGTGAGCCAGTGATGTTTGCTTCAAAACACTTTTGTGTGCACACACTTGTGGACTAATCACAAATTTAGGATCAAACCCTGATAAAATTATAAAGAACATTGTGGTATGCTTAGCCAGGTTATATTTGTTTGGGTTTAAAACTAAAAGCAATTACATAACCTTGAGTTTGTTCAATTTGTTTTGTGACATATTGAACAGACACTAGTCCAACAAAGCAACACTGGCTCAACCATTTGCGTTGTTTGTGCCACAAAAAAACAAAACAAAAAAACTATGTGCTGAAACCTTTAAAGGGTTAGTGCACCCAAAAATGAAAATTCTGTCATTAATTACTCACCCTCATGTCGTTTCAAACCCGTAAGACCTTCGTTCATCTTCGGAACACAAATTAAGATATTTTTGATGGAATCTGAGAGCTGTCTGACCCTGCATAGAGTTGCGTTGCTGTCTATGTGAGGGTCAGACAGCTCTCAGATTCCATCAAAAATATCTTAATTTGTGTTCCGAAGATGAACGAAGGTCTTACGGGTTTGAAACGACATGAGGGTGAGTAATTAATGACAGCATTTTCATTTTTGGGCGAACTATCCCTTTAATGAATTTATATCAATTATCACTGATAGCTCATCAAATGCTGAACTTTAATTGTAATGTCTCGGAGTTCTGAAATACTGCAGCATTGAGAGAAGTGAACTGAAGTGAAATATCGTTGCTTTTACCTCACTGCTCTGATGACGGTCTTCAGCGCGGACGGCAGGTCCTCTGCTGACATGTCACAATGACACCCTTTCTCATCAAAAGCCTCATCAACACCAACGTTAGCCTCACCTATGACACACACAATGAAAATTTCAATTACTTAAGTGCATAAAGAAAGGAGAAATTATGTGAAAACCATCACCAAATGAAAAGAATTGGCGGAAAATTGAGTGATAAGCAAGAAAAAAAGCATTAATTTTTCATAAAAAAATCTTTGGTTCAATCTGGCAAGAGGGTCTCCTATTCAAAGCAAAATCTGAGGAAAAATGCAGCAATTGCGAATGAATATAAACTAATGAAGTAGTGCAGGTCAAACTGAATTGAAACTGAACAATTGTACAGTACGTGTACTAAAATACATTTCTAAGAACATGCAGAATTTTAAGTCCATCAGTGTAAACAATAAAAAGTACACATTTTCACAGGTCCTCATGTTGTAAATCTCTCTTGTTAAAATATATATATTTATGCCTGTTCTTCTGAGCTAGCATGTCACATTACATTTCTGTGAATTTTACAACTGGAATCACTACTTTAAACAATCGTCTAAATTGGTAATAGTTCATATTTTCTGTGTAAAAAAGAGGTGAATGTAGACTCAAGTGCATTTCTGCAGCTACTTTATAAAAGGTTATCTATGGCTACAGCTATGATGTAAAGCAGAGACTGGAAAGGAAGTGGTGTGTTGGATGCACACACAGGATTATTCGTGCCCTATGCTACTTCAAGGATTCTCAAAACCTGACTAGAGAGGCTGCAATCGATCAGTCTAGTGAAAGAGGAAGATATTTACAGCCATAGGGCATCAGTGAGGAAGGAATATATGCTTCTGGCTAAAATCAGAAAGTTTTCAGTTAGTGCTTTGAGGCAAAAGGATTCTTGACTGTAGAATTATGCTACTTCTTGAAAAGTTCAATTATTTATTAGCTTCCCATATGTTACCACACTCACTAGATGCTCACGGGGCCCTAACAAGCTCCCCCAAAATTCAGTGATGCAACACTCTTTAAACACATAATCCAGTGATTAGAATATGTTTGCTAACTGAAATAATAAAATAATAAAAAATGAAAATGTGCTGAAAATTCGTTTAATCGCCTGATTAATCGCCATTAGTTTATATTCATCCAAGATGTAGATGAATTTGTTTTTTCTAAACAGATTCACTTGACGTGAAGTGAAGTGACGTGACATGACATGTGGCCCATACTCGGAATTAGTGCTCTGCATTTACCCATCCAAAGTGCACACACACAGCAGTGAACACACACCCAGAGCAGTGGGCAGCCATTTATGCTGCGGCACCCGGGGAGCAGTTGGGGGTTCAGTGCCTTGCTCAAAGGCACCTCAGTTGTGGTATTGAAGGTAAGAGAGAGCACTGTACATTCACTCCCCCCACCTACAATCCCTGCCAGTACGAGACTCGAACCCACAACCTTTGGGTTATGAGTCCGACTCTCTAACCATTAGGCCACGACTTCCCCTTGCTCACCAAATGTCCATCTCCTGTTGTTCTCACATCAAAATCCACCCACATATTCGTTCAGAACTGTTTTGGCCTGTTTTAGCTTGTAAACAGTGCATGATCTGCATATTTCTCTCCCGATTCTTTGCTTTTCAATGACTTTTTCACTGGAGAAAGAAATATTATGGACTGGTATTTTAGTCAGAAGCAACGGTTTAAAGTTAAAATGTTATAATGATGGATTTGTTTCTTACAAACACGCAGCTTTTCACTTTAACTGATAAACTGGAGTTGTGTGGATTATTGTGATGTTTTTAATCAGCTGTTTGGACTCTCATTCTGACGACACCCAATTCACTGCAGAGGATCCATTGGTGAGCAAGTAAAGCAATGCTGAATTTCTCCAAATCTGTTCAGATGAACAAACCAACTCATCTACATCTTGGATGGCCTAAGAAAAGCGTCTGCTAAATGACTAAATGTAAATGTAAATGTAATGCTAAATGTCTCCAAATCTGTTCCCATGAAAAACAAACTCATCTTGTTCATGAGGGTGAGTAGATTTTCAGAAAATGTTTATTTTTGGGTTTAATATTCCTTTGAAACAAAATAAATAAATAAATAGTGGCTGAAAAATATAAATAAAATAACAAAACTCAAATTATTATAATATAATTAGAATTTAATAAAAATAAAAACACTATTTTTTGTAGTCATTGAGTACTCATATGGTGAATAAATTGACCTGTGTGTCTGAGTGGGAGAAGACATCCCACCTGCAGATGGCGATATGATGTACTGTATGATGCCACTAAGATTTGTACATACATACTGTACAAAGACAGGCACAAAAGGAACTGAATTATTGGTTATATTTACATATAAACCTTGTTATATTTTGTTACTTTGTTACGTGCATGTTTGTTTTATTCATATATGATCATGAAGCAGAAATGAAACTTCTGAAGATGTTGCTGGGAATCAGAGAAGGGGATTCTCATGAATACATATTAGACTGTAGTACATGTAAATACTTGTAGCTTTTCGTTGTGGATCACCTGCTTGTTTCCTGAAAGTGCTTCACGTCTTAGACACAGAAGCACATTAAGACACTTAAAGTTGGGTAATAATTTTTCATTAACCATTTGACTAAATGCTTCTGATTTTATAATGTAGCTTATATGATATCTACTGCCTTATAGCTTTCCCACAGGATAAAGACTTCAGATTAATTCTAAATAATATCATAGAACAGTTGATTCTACTTTGGCTTCATTTGTAAGTATTTACATTTGTGAATCACAGACAAAGTAACTGCCAATATTGTGTCTCAAATTCAACTCCACATTGACTTCTTTTCAGTTTACTGAACTTTTGTATAAAAAACAATATCACATTTGTAGGCCTCTGCTGCCCTCCTGCCATTGGTTCAATTAACAAATTAATTAAACCCAATTCTAATCATATCAACACATGGCATGCTTACACACTGATAATCTGCTATAAACAAAGAAAAAAAAGGAAAGAAGGAATGAGGAAAGAAATGGATCCTAGTTTAGTCAATGGCCTTTGGGACCCAATCAGGAAAATATGGACTCACAATAATCCCAATCAGATGGACAAAACTATTATTACCAAAATTACCAAAAATGATGATGATTATCATCATTAGCTCTCTAATGTGTCACCATGGCTGGCCATAATTATATTGGTAATCTCCTGAAATTCTGAGATTTTTTTTTAAACTGGAACAGTCACAGTGTTATTTATTTGGAGGAAGAAAAAAAAGATTTCCCAGGAATTTGAATTTCATTATGTCTTAATTCATTATGAATTCAATTATATCTCTTCACTACATAGTAAGTGTAGATAAAAAGTATTGAGCTAAATTCTCATTTCAATGCAATTAAATCACAGTGGTTCAAAGTAATTCTCCAGTCAGAGTGTTGTTCACCTTCAGGGGTGGAGCGTGATTGGCTCTTGAGACGGAGGGAGGGTCTGAATCGGGTGCGGTCATTAAAACTCCAACTCTTCTGGACCTTGGCAGGACTCGATCCATCAGTGCTGATCTCAGCTCCAGGCGAACGTCTGTCTGTAACAGATGTCTGCCTGCTTTTAATGCTCTGTCCACGTGGGCTTGCCATTCTTACCCGGTCCTTAAAACTCAGTTTCTGACTGAGAGGGGAAAAAAAGAGAGAGAATAAGAGAGTGGAAGAAATAACAGCAATTTCCTTCCTGCCATGAGCCATGGCAATGACCATAAAAGAGCAGCATGAAGTACAAAAAGTGCAGAGGCCAAGTCATTTTTGATTAGTTCTGCATTGCTTGCTTAGCCCCCCATAGTATTAGAAGTGCAGTCAAACAAACACTCTAAACAATCATTATGAAAGAGCCCTTCAGGTATAATATGCCAAGACCAAATCTAATGTAAGATGAAAGACTCTAGAGGAGCATCAAGAAAAGAGGGATAAAAATCCTTCAGAAGTAACTATAATTTTCCATGAAATCGATATCTATCTATCCATCCATCCATCCATCCATCTATCTATCTTAATTGATTTACTTCAATGTGGCTTGAAAGAAAGTATTTTCACTTGATTACAAATATGTTGAAATAATTATTCAGAGTGAGTTTAACTGTTCTCTTATTGCATGAAATGTGAGTAATGAAATGCATTTTTCATGCATGGCTATTTACATGGCACATGGTCAACACTGTAGATCATCTTTGCTAATTTCAGTTATTAAATTCCCTAACGATGAATATTATTTAGTCACATATGAATTTAGAGATGTTTACAGTTCACCGATGCAGAGTCCAGATCAAGTCTTTAAAGGTCAAGTTTAAGCCAAATCTCATTTATGGCGAAACTTATGTGAAATTTTGCAGGCAAAAAAACGTGACTTATCTATTGTCAATAGTGTAGCAATGCATTAAGCACTGCTCACATAAAGGTCACTTTCAAACCAAACAGCTTTCTGTTGGTCAATCCGATGAAATTGCGTGACCAACTTAAACTCAATGCGAAATCCATGAGTGTGCTAATGTGCAGATTTCTATTGAAATGACTGGATTTCGAACACAAAATTGCATCGAGCAACAGTAAATGTGACCACACTTTTGGGGTCAGATTTACTAACAGCGTGCACCAGCGCAAACACATGAGAGTTCTATAGAACACTCATGAGAAATCATTATCTGTATTCAGTTTAAGAGAAAATACACTGCAGACCTCTCTATTTCAGAGAAAACAATAGGACAGACAGCTGAGCATGAGTCAGAGAAAAGAGCAGCGGCCACTCAAAAATGCAGCACTGCAGTGAGTCATCCACTTCTGCTCAATAATGTCACATTAGCAACCATACTAATTATGGTATCATTGCCTCTTGGTCATTGATGAGCACTGCATCATAAATGAGTGGATGGATGGTCGTTTCACACAAACATCTGGTCAGAACCCACAGAAACACCATTTCCAAACACTCTTTGAAATGTTCACTCTCTGACAATTGTTACAGACAAACAGACGAATTTCATTTATTTGTTCTGCACTTAATATATTCATAATGATCTGGAAATGATTTTGTCTGGCCTTGTTCATACTGGCCACACTATTATGGCTCAATTTGAAGTTCTATCTTAGTAATTATGCAAATAACACCACTAGCTCTTCCTGTTATCTGGACTGATGAGACTATGCATTAGTCGCTGCTGTGTAATGCAGTCATTCAAACAGTCTGACTTGACTTTTCTCATTATTTCTCTCTCTAATTGAAGTCAAGGCCCCCGATAATCACATTTGTCTGGTAAGTGACAAAACATGAAAACATGAATAAATCTAAATTATTTGCTATTCCATATTCCATTACATCTGTTTAATGTATACATGACTGATGAAAATTAGAGTGCACTTCATAACAGATGGCAGTAAACAGTCTCAGACATCAGGGGGAAGATGATTTTGTGTTAGCCGAACTACTGATCAAACATGGAAGCCTGTTTCCTTCTCAAAAGAAAATGTAAAAAAGTAATCGTGAGATGAAGCTTCAAAAAAGAAATAAAGTCTATAAAGTTGCAATTGCAAGAAACAAAGCCATAAGTGAAAGTTTAATAAAGTCAAACTGCAAATCACATTGTAAGATATAAAGTCACAATTTCACAAAATTAAAGTCACAGTTACATGGAATGATGTCACAGTTGTGAAATATTCACATTTTGAGATTTAAAGTCTCAGTTAAAATATATAAACTCACAAATATTAGAACTATAGTTGGAATTACAATAAATAAAGCCTCGTTTTTATGATAGAAAGTAACATTGTGAGAGAAAGTCGCAATTTACCTTTTTATTTTTAATTTCAAGGAAGAAACAGGCTTCCATAGTCAAATGAGGTTTAACACAAGCATAACAACAGCAATGTTTCAAATTCTGTCTCAGTCGTACATTATTTATAGTATAGAGTATATAAGACATAGAACAATACAAACCTTGTAGATGACTCTCCTTGATCCTTCCTTTGGGTGGTGTAGAAAGAGAAATACATAAAAGTGAGATGTTTTTAATGAATCTTCAGTAGACAATAAACTACACATGACACAGTTTCAGATTCACTGGATCCAGTTTGTACTTCATGCATACTAATGCATCAAAAGCAACAGCCAGTTCAAATGCATAATGCGTGGATAAATGCAACCATTAGCATATACATGCATATCACAACATGCAGTATATTGCATGACATTCAAAAGCTCAAGCAAACAAATGTGCCATATTTGAAGCCCTACTAAATGACTAGTTTATTCTCTGTGTATTTATAGTAATGCTTTTTAGCAGGTCTATTTACATTTCATGGTCCTATGTGATATACATGCATATATGAATGACAAGCCAAAGGCGCTGAAGTCTTTTTCTTAATCAGTTAGACAATTTGACTGCTGCTATTACTATTTACCAAGACGGAGGACTGTTCATGCACTTCATCTATAATTGGGCCATTATAACAGAATGTGGGCATCAATGTGAAATGGAGAGAAACATTACTGTCCATTCGCATCGTTTTTTCCCTTTCATTTTGAGAGAAAGACTGCAATCAGGTGATTTCATGGACAGCTAGCCCTACATTAGACCGGTTATTGTCTGTAACAATGGATCCTGGTTTATAATGATTTTTGTGGATGACTATGAACATATCAGATAAATCCGAAATGGACAATGTACTTTTTTTAATCTTGTAATGAAGAGGACGTGAAAAGAAGAATGGAACGTATGGGAGGCAGGCACAATTATGTTACATGGGGGAATCAAACAAATAGAGGGAAAGAGGAAAGTTTTCCTCTTTGGAAATATAATGAATGAAGCCAGGGATAGACAGGAGATGCTGCCAGGGGTTTGTACCTACTTTGTAGGACTGCAGGTATGCAACGCCTTCAAATGAGGTTTCCAGGTAGCAACGGAAACCGAGTTCTCATCAGCCGCATAGCTACGCCACACACACTACATGCAAAAATATATAAAACCAAAAGAACAAAGGATAAAGGAAGAAGAGGAAAAAAGAGAAGAAGAACAAGCCCATAGAAGAGAAAGAGAAGAAAAAACAAAACAAAAAGGAAAAAAAGCAGATTAGTAAAAAAACTACTCTAAAAACTACTAAAAAAAAAAGTCCCCACAAGGTCAAAATTTACTGGTATTACTGTACTTGTGGGGACATTTGGTCCTCATAATGTAGGGAGTACCAGGTACACACACACACACACACACACGGTGTGGTTTACAGGGACTCTCCATAGGCGTAACACACAGGTTTCCATGTTTTATGAGGACAATCCCCCAATGCATTTTGCAACAGACTCTTAATTGCTGGTATCAAAACCAAATCTGTCCATATTAAAACCAGCATGTCCAAGCAAATAAAGTCTCTTTGCTGTGAAGTGAACCATATTTGTCTGTTAGGTCAGTGTTTCCCAACCGGGGTGCCGCGGCACCCTGTCGAGAGCAGGGGTGCCACGTAAAAAATAATTTTTTTATGTTTTTAAATTGCTAAAATGTTCAAAAAAGCATCTATTATATAATATCC